ACAGTCATAGATCTACCTAAATTGCATGAATTAGCACTCAAAAATGGTTAAGAATTGTGTATTTTAAAGGGGTGATGAACTGAGAAATCAAATTTTCCTTTTGACATCTAAGAGATCTTAGATGATAAAACTTAGATATTATAAAACTATCCTGTAAGTTTCAGAACTGAAAACGTCTTTATGAGTCCAATAAAACCTTTTATTGACACCAGCCCCAACAAATGACTCGTTTTTCAAAGTGGGGAACTATGACGTCACAGAGGATAAAACCATAGATATGTATATAAAGGCTAGATGTGTTACGGCGGAGTTTCTATCGTCATCACCGGCGGCCATATTGTCACAGACAAGCTGATGTAAGATGAGTGGTCAGCATGAACACAAATACTCTCATCTCGTTGAAACCTTGACAGATTTACAAACGGTTTGGTTTCTTACAAACGTTATTAATGTGGCTATAATTATGTGAATGATTATTTATTTATACACTTATTATTCATAAGTATGCAGTGTCATAACTACATCTCTGACGTTTATAACAAACCAAACCGTTTGAAAATCGGTAGAAAATTGAGCAAGTTATGGTTATTTAAATATTACATGTACCATTACCACAATGTTATGAGTGAGCGACCTGCCTGTGACAAGATGGCCGCCAGGTGCAGACGACGACCTCCATTGGCCAGCAGCGCTGACGACACATCTAGCCTTTATATACATATCTATGGATAAAACACCACCCCCGCAGAAGAAGATCAACGCCTACTTCAACACGGCCGGTTTAGCCCCGCCCACCGATTCGCACATTACACGCATAGATGACAAACCGGATCGAGCTACCGGGCAATAAATATGCACTGACGAGTGAAACTCATAATGTGCAAAACTGTTATCCACTCACAGCAGTGGGCGTTTACTTCCAGTGTGAGACGCCCATAAAAACCGAGCATTTTTGGGATAGGCTCAAAACTAGGGTAGAAAATAGCCTATTACTTATTCATTTTGATGATTTTTAATGTAAAAAACAAGTGAACATCATAAGTTGACCTCAGAAAATAATATGAAAAAATTTAAAAAGCCAGTTCATGACCCCTTTAACTACATGTAAAATTTACATTAGGTATAGTTCACCCAAATTTTAATTCTGTCATAACGTACTCACCCTCATGTCATGCGTCAAAGTGGTAGTTGCGTAGGCTGTCAATGGAGGGACAAAAATGTCTCAGATTTCATTCAAATTATCTTCATTTGTTTTCCGATGATGAATGAAAGTCTCACAGGTTTGAAATGATGACAGAATTTTCATTTTTGGGTGAACTATCCCTTTAATTTGCATAACGTGTTTTAACATAAACAACCAAAACTTAATATGATGCATTTGAATTTTTATATTTACAATTTTCATTAATGTTTGTCATTTAATTTAGTAGTTCAGCTTTAGTGACCTGTCCTGACTGTTCCTTTAGTTTTAGTAATTTGAATACTTCATCGTCAACTGATTTTATTTTAGTTACTTGCCAAGACAATATTTCAAATTTTTTAAACCTTTTTTTTTAGTTTTTAATAGGGCTGTGCAAAGATCAATTGCGATTAATCGCATCCAAAATAAAAGTTTGCGTTTACATAATATATTGGTGTGTGCTGTGTATAATTATTTTGTATATATAAATACACACACATGCATGTATATAGTGTTATTCATATCTAAAATATTTATATATAATATAGATTATGTATTTATATATATATATATATATATATACAGTATTTACGTGCAAATTATTCTTAAATATATACATGCATGCATTTGTATTTATATATAAAAAATAATTATACACAGCACACACACATATATTATGTAAATACAAACTTTTATTTTGGATGCGATAAATCGAATTACAGCCTTAGTTTTTAGGTTTTTTTATCTGATATATATATATATATATATTTTATTTCAGCTTCATTTCAAAAAAAATTTTTTTTTTTCATTTTTTTTTTTTTTCAACAACACTACTGCTGATGATAGAAATGACACCTTGGTCTGATGGTAACGTTTGCTATAACTGGCATAATCACGCCAAGTGTGGAGTTCAAAACTACAACCTTTTGGTTAAATAGCTCAGATCTTTAACCACTATGCCACAACACCCGCATACAACTCGCTTTCACTCACAGTTTGGCAGTGATAAGCAGGATGAGGGAAACCCCAGTGGTACGTGTGAGTTTACCCATCTGTCCCACCATGTTCAGGCCGAGATAAAAGAGTGCCGCCCCTCCGAAAGAGTCTGCCAGTCCATCAACAAACTCTCCAAATAAAACAGGGACACGCCCACCAAACAGGAAATGAGAGAGAATTCCAACAATAACCATGAAGACTATTGGGTTCTTCAAAACCTAAAAAGAGAGAAGAGGTGAGACCAACATGAAAAAAGGCTGACACATCAACAAAAACTTCAGGATTAAGATATATACACACACACACACACACACCTGCAGTATGACTGTAAAGATCACATGCAGTTTGCTGTAGCTGCGGTCATTGGAGTGTTTCCATCTCTGGATCTCACACAAAGCAAAGCCCACAGGGTTCAGCAGCATCAGAGACACAGGAGCCACCAGATATATATACTGCACATACTCTGGGTGCGAACTCCTGTACAGCGCATCCACTGTGAGGAGAATATGATCTTATGATTAATATGTTTTTGCACGAGTGTATTTTAGATGTATTTGTGTGTGAGAGGATCCTCACCTATAGGATATCCCAGTGCAAAGTCGTTGCTCTGAGTGGCAAAGATAGCAAACATCCCTGCTTTACTGAATTTGCTCTCAGGATTTGCCACCAACAGCGTCAGCACACAAACTAGCACGAACACGCACACTTTTGCGATCAAAACGCTCCATAGAAACGACCAGACGACGTGCTCAAACTGAAGCTGCACCATGTTCTTGAAAAGCAGGGCAGGAAGTGCGAAACACGACACGAAACTGCCCAGTCCTTTGACCTGTGCCACGCTAATGATGTCACTGCGACCCGCCACGTATCCGCACAGAATGATGCCAAAGCACTCCAGCAGAGCCGGGAATAGTTTGTTGATAGACATGGCCGGTGCTCCGATAGGGCTGTGGGTGATGTTGAGGCCATGAATGGTGATATATTGGCCCTCCATGATGATGAGGTTGACAGTGACCACTGAGAGATGATCTTAGGGTGCAGATCAGAAAGCTAGGAATAAAAAAATACATAAAGAATAAAGACATGTCAAAAAACTTTCTCAACAAAAGAATGTGCAGCTGCTAATACAGAACTGGTTTACTCCGCACATGTGTGCAAAAACATATTGGATTCATTTATAGCCTCCTCAGAATAGTGACTTGCGAAAGCTAAAGTAGCATTGATGCCTGGCAATGTTTTTCTTCCAACTATTGGATTATATAAAGCAATGACCATAACAAACCCTTTTTATACTTTTATTTTCAGATTGTTCAATTATTGATAATATGTTTGTTGCTCCCCATTTTCCCAGTCTGTTTGTTTGAATGGATGTTACGTCACAAAAATTAGAATATGCTGCTGCTCTATACCAGCAGAAGTGTGTTTATGAATTTATAGCTGCCATTAAGTAATTATCATATTATACAATGCCCGATCAACAAACAAAAAAAGTCGCTGTTTGGATTTAAATAGGCTCATACTTAAAAGTCTATGACTGGATCATTATTGCATTGATTATTATCTTTCTAGCATTGTTATATGTTTGGCAACAGCTCTTCTAACCCTAATTGATGGAGTGTGTAGCTTTTCATTTCTTAAACAAACACGAAGACGCACACATCAAGGCCATATTCCAGGATGACAATGTCAAGATTCATCAGGTTCAGAATGTTTAGTTGGGTGCATGAATAAATATTTTACATTTATAACAAATGCCAAACATATAACATGCTAGAAACATATTAAACACATCATAGACTCTTAAGCTTTTGCCCATTTAAATCCAAGAGCTTTTTTTTTTTTTTTTTGGCTGGGCAGTGCATTGGGCAATATTATAAATAAATTGCTGAAACTGCAGTAACTAAAAAAAGGAAATGACCAAATTTAAGTAAACTTAACATGATATACACAATTGACAATTTTATATGAATTATAAAATCCTATAATTCTATAGTAATTAAGAAATATTTTATTATGACTAAGTAATAACTAATAATTACTATTATTTTTAAATGAGCTGCAAAAAAATCTGGACACTGACCAACTATATATATATATATATAGTATAATATTGCATTTTTTAAAAGATATATATATGTTTTAAATTTCGTATGATAAACAAGGCCACTGAATACAAAGCGAAATCTGCAGTTGACATCTATACTACTAAACGTTTCAGTCTTACCTTGCGAGGAAAACAACCAAAATTTAACGGTTGTCGATGACCTACCGTGTGTTCACGTGTCGAAATGGTGAATGCATGGATTGCATATCATGTTGAAGAAAAACAAAACGCCTGAAACATCCATGTTTTCACCATGGTTTTCACTCTGCTCACAGAAAGAATCTCTTCTCTAGAGCTTCGGCACTCCGTTACTTACAATGTCAAATCACTCAATGACTGACACTTGAGTCAGCCTATTACGTTTTCAAACCCCGCCTTAAACTCGTCTGGTCATGTCGCTGATTGGTGGAGAAATAGAGAATTTACTGATAGTCACGGAACACTCTCATGTGATTGGCCACAGTCATGCTCGCTAGTGGATGGGCGTCATATTGCCTCTAATATTAGTAAAGACGGAATATGTTGGTAGACAACCCCATCATGCTCTATTTTTCAATTTAAAGCAGAGTAAGTTTCCTTTCATTTATTTATTAATTTATGATAACTCAACAAAAATAAAATACAAGTGCATTGAAATGACAAAAAACAAAGTTGCCAACTGAAAGAGCAACAAGCTGAAAAGCACAGAAATGCACTATTATTTAAATGAAAAGCAAAAGACAGCGTCTATCGGATTTTTATTTAGAAAACAACATATTTTGCCACATCAGAATAGCAAACGACTGTTTTTAAGAAAGCAAATATACACAAACTAAACAACAGTATGTTGTATGAAACTAAAAATGTGCATTTACAGGCACAAAGAGAACATATAAAGTACCTCATTACTCATCTGGTCAACACAATGTCATAAACTGGGTGCAAACAGAACATAAAAAATAAGTGGCCGTAGTAGGTATTACTAATAAGGTTGGTGGCAAATTGTTTCCTTTTGGCTGTGCAATTATCTGTGCAATCATCTGTCTAATTCAATATGCTTGCTGTTTTGCATACATCACTTAAATGTAATTTTCCTTTTAATGTTTTATTAGAAGGCTTTTGCAACTCTTCTTTATGTAAACAAACATAATGCAGCATAAACCAAGCCATTACATTGACATTGTGACTTAAAGATTGATACATTATTGATTATACTTTTAGTAAAGCGCTTTAGTCAAACATAACAGTACACTTCCTGACAGGCACGTCTACATGTCTGAGAAACATACATAAAGCAACATAATACTGAGCTAATATCAACAAAACAAGCAAGTGCATTCATATATCATAAAATATAGCACTTTTTAAACACAGTTTTGACTTCAACACAGATAGAAGAATCCCATGATACATAGAAACACACTTGCATGAGATTTTAAGACAAATCATTTTCCATTTAAAGATTAGTTCTATACAACATCAGCTCTCAGACTTAATTTAAATGGGGGATAAAGGACATCCACATTTCCCCATAAACTCAGTCCTTTTTATTTTTACATCACGCACTGCATATGTGAACAAATCTGGTGGTAGTACCATCCATACGTGCTACAGGATTAACAGAGTCCTGACAGACTGCAGCTCTGGAGAACATTCCACATTCTTTATAATGTGTTGGCCCTTATCACCACATACACATGCACACACAATGGTACTAAAGCAAACACATTCATTTAATTTCAGTCTGATATTGTTCTAGTCACCTTACAATTTACCTTTGAAACGTCAACGCTACATTCCTACTGTGTTGTATGAAAACAGGAAGGTAGGTGGTGCCAAAACTCACCAAAGTTACCAATGGTTTAAATTGATATTTACCCAAAAATGAAAATTCTGTCATTAATTACTCACTCTCATGTCAGTCCAAACACACAAGACTTTCATTCATCTTCAGAACACAAATGAGGATCTTTTTGATGAGATCCGAGATTTTTCTGTCCCTCCGTTGACAACTACGACTTCCAAGAGACGCTATTCCATATGAATTGAGAGGTTTAGTTCAAATTTCATGATCGCTTTATATGTTAAAAAGATTGAATTTAGGCTTTTAATCACATATAAACATTCATCAACTCACACATCAGTTGTGGTAAACAGAAGTTCAAGGATGTTTGATCAAATAAAGCGATTGGTCTCTACAGAAAAGGCTACGCGGTACGCTCAATTCATATGGATTGGTTTTAGAATCTCTTTTTAAACTTTTTGAAGTATCAAAGAAGTTCAGATTTAATAAAAAAAATATCTAAATTTGTGTTCCGAAGACGAACGAAAGTCTTACGGGTTTGGAACGACATGAGGGTGAGCAATTAATGACAATTTAAATTTTAGGGTGAACTATCCCTTTAATGAGAGGCATAAAACTGACTGTTGCATTCCTTCCTAAAATATAATTACATAGAGTGTCTAACAAACACTGATCGAGTAGAAGTGACAGACAAACTGAAAAATTCTCCTAAAGGGCAATAAACTGCTGCAACAATCTTGCGCCCAAAAAAATCCTCAAAAATAAAGTCAAACTTAGCTGTAGTATCACTGTAGAGGTCTTTACTTGACATAGTCATAATAGCAAATATGTATTAATCTATAAAACAAAAAAAACAAATGCTATAAAAGATATACGTTTTCTATAATAGAACACCTTGTGATGTTTTGTGTGCTTATTTATTTTGTTGATATTTTAATGAAATACTCTGGTTGAAAAATATCAGAAACAGACAGTACCAGAGAAAACAAGATAATTGGCTAAAGGAAGGATTGTCAGACCCTGAGAAAACGGTTTCTTTCACCTAGGTATGGGGGGGAGGGGAGGTGCACCTCGCTCTTTCTTTCCTGAACCTGAAACAGACAGAAATATACAAACACACACACAGGCACATAAACAAATGGGTAAGACCATGATTGTGCTGAAAGGACTGAATGCTATTCAAAGAATTCATTGGCATGTGGAAGTGGGTCAGTTTTGTCTAAGTGCATAGCAACGAAAATGCAAAAGATGAGATAACACGGCTGTAATTTGTTACCTCGGCTTTCGTTCCTGGCCAGTTTGCTAGGATAGGTCTTCTGACAGGGAATGTAGGGCTCTGGGGCTGGAAGGTCTGATACAGGTCGGAACGTGAAGCGTGATTCCCACTCATCTTGGAGAAATAGATCAAACGCACACAATTAATTTGCAACATAATCTGCAAATCTAAGTTACTTTCACTGTTATTTAGAGCTAATTAGAAATAAATTGTAACTTCAAGGAACATGCTGGGATCAAAACACAATCTATAGACAGCATAGATATGCGACATGATGTCAGTTTGATTCATCATTCAGTTTAAAAAAACTACAATTAAGCACTTACAAAATAAGTATATGGACTGCAGCAAGTCAGTAATGTGAAGTATTTATGTAAAAGCACACACATATATATATATATATATATATATTATTCAAGTATCTTTATTATTGGATCTGTAGTCAAAATGATTTAGTGTTGAGACTAAGCTGACAAAGTTCTTGGTAAGTTACTGAAGTACACTTTGGCTTTCCACGTACATTAAGTATCTGTATGCATACACTGTGCTTGATGTAAATTTCATCATCAGTATACATACATACATACATACATAGTATGCATGCACTGAACATGCACAGACAGGTTTTTTAACTGCATACTTTATGCTTAGATCACAAATGCACCTTGAATTTTTTTGCACTAATTGGTTTGTCCACAAGAGGGCAACACCACTGCTCCGGGCCTTTGTTATATTATTTAAAAAGAAACTAAGACTATGGAACAACAATTATGGAGACTGAGAGAGCTCAATACACTGCAACTGAAGAAAACACATGCAAATAGTAAAAACACCAGCAAATTAAGAAAACATCATCAGATTGAGAGCACGTGTGCTGAAAATACTTAATGCAACCAAATACAGAAATGCGTTGCAAATAGCAAAGACCACAACGGAAATGTTTGAGAAGATCCCAACAAGGGATGAACCTGACAGCAATAAATGTTGCAGTCCTGGCCTATTACATTTCATGGCCAAAAGTAAGTGACCCCTTGTAATTTTCAGCTTATGGCACTTTTCCACTACACACTACCAGCTTGACTCAACTTGAGTTGGCTTGGCTTTGTTTGGTTTTCCACTGTGGAAAAGTTGTACCTGTACCTGCTTTCGTGTACTTTTTTGTATCACCTCTGGCTAGGTTCTGAGCAAACTAAGCCGAGCTGAGGCGATACAAAAATGTGACGTGAAAACAATGCCGACTGCTGATTGGTCGAATCGTCACCATTAACTACTTCATCATTGTACGTGCCAGATGGAGTATCCAGAATAACCCCGCCATTTTTAAATAGTTTTGCCAGAGATAGCTACTAAACTTACTACTATTATTATGGCACTCGGAAGAATACGCCGTGGTCAAACGAGGAGGAGCAGACTTTCCTTTGTTTGGTTTCCAAAGAGAGGATCCAGCAAGAGCTTGAATGAAAGGCGTCGCTATGGCGACCAGGTACTATTTGCGTGGTACTGTCTTTAATGAAAAATGGAGCGAAAAGCGGGCCGAGTCGAGTCGAACTGGTACTGTTAATGGAACAGCGCCATTAGAGTGTACTACGGTCATACGATCCCACCAGTAACTTGCTTACGGAGTCTAGTGTGAAGAAAAAAACTAGTCTGCACAAAATCCAGATCTTTGGGATGATTTAGAACATGGACTGCAAACCAGACTCCAATGCCCAACATCCAACATCCTAACTGAGGCTCAAATGTCTGAATGGGAACAAATCCTAAAAGCTACCTTCCAACATCTATTAGACAACCTTCCCTGAAGATTGGAAGCTGTTATAGCAGCAATGTCAATGGTTTTGAAACCAAAAGTTCAACAAACAAATGGGAGTAGTATACTTCTAGTAGTCTACCTTCTGGTAAATTGTACCAAAGAAAAACAATAAAATACATGACAATTGTTCTTGGTAAACTTAAGAAAGCATATGAATGTCACACTACCTATATAATGCCCTTGATTGTGGTAACCATTGCCCATAGGTTGGGGAGGAGGGGGCAGAGGTCCAGCGGAGGGTCTGTCTGGTGGGAGTGGTGGTCTACTGCCACCACGGTGAGGCTCCACACCGGGTCTGTTTGGAGGAGGAGGGGCTGGTGATGACCTCACACTTCCTCCTCCTCCTGGACGACCAGAAGGAGGTGGAGGTGGAAGAGGACCTGTGGACGACACATTAATGATCAAATTATCAAACAGGTGGTTTCCAGATCTTTCAGCAACAACTTGCCACTCCTTGTTTACCTGTTCGTCCACCTGTATTCCTACCCAATGCAGGCGGTCTCTCAGAAGGAGGTGGAGGAAGGGGTCCGGATCGCCCAGGCGGCAGGGCAGGAGGATGCGAGCCAAGTGACAGGTTTCGTTCTGGAAGGCGTGGCGTATGCTCATCGGGAGAAAGTGAGCTTGGTCTTCCTGGCGGGAGTGGAGGTGCTGCACTTACAGGTGCCCGCAAAGAGGCGGGAGCAGGAGTCGGAGGAGGAGTTGGTTTATTAATTGCTGACGGAGGGGGTGGAGGGGGCGGGCTGTCCCGAGTGAGAGGCAAAGAAGAACGATTTACAGGGGGAATAGGTGGAGGACGGTCATCACCGCGCCCGGGTGCAGGGGGAGGAGGGGGTCGTCCGGCGTGACCGACAGAGGGCGAAGGAATTGAAGGAGGACGACCAAATCCACCTGGCACCGGTGGAGGTGCAGGCTGCCGTCCAGGGGGGTTTGGAGGTGGAGGTGTCGGGGCAGAACCCAAGCGGGGAGTCCCTGGAAGTGAGGGTGGTCCCCTGCTCTGTGCGCCACTCTGAAAGGGCCGTGGGGCACTTGGAAGAGGTGGAGGAGGCCCTCCAGGTGTTTCAGGACGAGGTGGGGTCATCCGTGGACGTGGGGGGTCGACGGATTCACTGCGTTGCATAGGCGGACGAGGGCCAAAGCCAGATCCTCCTCCAAAGGGCCTTGGACCAGTGCTACGAGCACCAGGTGGCAGAACCGGAGGCCTGACGCAACTGGAGTCTGAAACAGAGACCAAATAATCTAAGAGATAATATAATATAATTGTGAAGTTCTTTTATATATACACCCTTTCCTGAATTTTCCTAAAGAAAATATTACATTGTACTTCATAAATTGTATATTACAAATATTATTTAATGAAAAAAATTCTCGATTGGAGCTTTTTTGTAACCATTAGAAAAACTGATGGAACATCAGCAACCATGGCGTTATCAGCCATAACATAATACTGTTGGCCAAGATTTCAATTTCAGTCAATCCCTAATGAGGGTGAAGGAACCAGCCAGTACACAGAACACTATAGCCGCGTTTCCACCGCAGGAACTTGCCCCAGGGACTAGGAACTTTGGGGTGGTACTCGGTGTGTTTACACTGCAGGAACCAGGGTCTAAATGAAGTTCCGGGTAAAAAATTCCCCCCTAGAAAGTCTCTGCTGTCGAGGTGGTACTTTTTCAGAGTTCGGGAACTTTCGGGGTAGGACTTGTGCGCTGAACATGCTGATTGGTTCTCACCACGCTATTCTTTCTGCCCAATGGCGCGCGTTCGTCCCATCCATCTCACGGTCGATGTCCGCTGATAACAAACTAGTTTAGTTTAGTACTAGTTTAGTACTAGATAGTCTACTTTTATATCTAGCATTACGAGCTTTCTAAATACGCTTTGGGTGCTCGTCTCTTTCTGCCGTTTTGTTAATTACCTCGTTAGTAAACCAATCACACACAAAAGCAGCAAAGCTTGAATCTCCTCCATACAAAACTCAAAACAAACGCGCAGGCTAGGAAGAGTAGTCGCACACAGTTCAATGTCACTACATAATCTTCCCGCCCTGGAACGGTACTTTAGTACACGGTGTAAACGCAATAAGCAAGCGGTCTGGGGAAAAAAGTTCCTGTGAAAAAAGTTCCTGGGCCAAATAGTTCCTGGTAATTGCTGTGGAAACGCAGCTAATGTTTAAATATTTGTGATTTCTCACCATCTCGAGTGGAGCGTAGCTTTGGCATACCCCCCTGGAAGAGTCCTCCCAGACCACCTGGAGCTCCTCCCCCACCCCCAAACCCTCCCCCTCCCCCTCCGCCACCACCTCCTCCAGGCCCACCTCCTCCTCCACCGCCACCTGCTTTGGGTTCTGTCAAAACAAAGATGTGTTTAATATTTTGGACAGGAGAGAAAACCTGCAACCAGTAAGCGTTACTACTTGCTGCTCATATCATTTGTACATTTTATAATTTAGCACATTAAATTACAGCTGCTTTGGTACAAGAACTACCATGTAACTCCATAAGATGCAGGTTCTTACTTTCGAATACGGGGGCACTACGGTCATTAGTAACCGTCTTCTTCAGCCTGGCTCCTTTGCTGATGTCCGACAGTAGAGCATTCCTGCCCTTCTCCTCTGATTTATTCAAGACAGGCTTCTCAATGTTTGCCTGTGAGCAAAAACAAGCATAGAAATGTTTCTGTAGATATCGTTAACACATTGATGCATCATACCTACTCCACTAAAAGCTGGAATACACTACACAACGTTTTCCCAGATTTGTGCCCTGATCTGCAGATTTTAGGCAGTTGAGTTAACAGATTTGTTAGCAGAACAATTTGCATAGTGTATGATGACCACACCACAGACTAAATTTTTTAGCTTCAGACTATTATTGGATTCATTTGGAAGATAAACATGTTTGATATTTTGAGCCAGTTTTAAAACACACATTGTTTTCATTTGTCATGCAGCAATGAGGAGCATGTTTCTGTACGAGTCTGTTGTGTTCAGAACGACTGTTAGTGTGTGATCCTTGGTTGTTTAGTGTATAATGCCCAGTTAGTTTTTATCTGTAACCATTTTTAAGTCGGAAAGTCAATAGTGCCTGGCGTTTAAAAGTCCCAGATCATAAAAAGTTGCGTAGTGTATTCCAGTCCAGAATGTGTGTTTATTTGTGTACCTGAGAGAAGGTGGGGGGTGGGGGAGGGGGAGGTGGAGGAGGTCCCGGCATTTTTTCTCCTTGGTGTCACCTCCTCTCACTGAGACCTGACAAACAGACAGAAAAAAATTGTGTTGCTTGCAAAACTCAATGCAATAATGCTGCGTGGTTTCCAGTGTGGTTATATCCTCACACACGTAAACCTTGAAAACCTGAATAATATTTTATTTCTAAGAACAACAATATTTTAACAAAACATCTTCACTGAAAAACATTTATCCAGCAAGTAATTATTAATAATATTGATGTAATATTGTTCATTTAATGATTTCTTTTAAATACTTTTAAAAAACATTTATAAAAAAATGTATTAAAAAAATGTTAATTACTTGTTTTGTTTTTTTATGGTCGCACCATATGACATCATTACAGCAATTAAATTGAATATTTCCGTTTAATTTAGCACAGAATTTAAGTTTTTCAAAACCATGAATAGAAAGTCTAAATTTTTAAGATTTTTAGCAATTTAGATTACACTAGATGAACTAGATTAAAGGAGTAGTTCAATTTTAAAAAAAAACATTTGCTGATAACTTACTCACCCCCATGTCATCCAAGATGTCCATGTCTTTCTTTCTTCAGTCGAAAAGAAATTAAAAAGAAAGGATTTTCTCCATATAATGGACTTCATTGGGAACCAAACGGTTCAAGGTCCAAATGAGAGTTTCAGTGCAGCTTCAAAGTGCTTTAAACAATACCAGACGATGAATAAGGGTCTTCTCTAGCTAAATGATCAGTCATTTCAGAAATAAATAACAAAGGTTAAGTTTTATAAGCACAAATGCATTCATCAAAATGAACAAATCTTTTTGAGTCATGACTCGAAGGATCCTTGATAAGACCCATATTCATCGTCTGGTGTCGTTAAAAGCCCTTTGAAGCTGCACTGAAACTCTCATTTGGACCTTGAACCGTTTGGTTCCCATTGAAGTCCATTATATGGAGAAAATCCTGGAATGTTTTCATCAAAAATGAAATGGATGGCATGGGAGTGAGTAAATTATCAGCAAAAGTTGATACTACTCCTTTAAAGTTGGCATGTCTTTCCTTCACTATAGTTATACATCTGAATGAAGCAGCTTCTCAAACATTTATATACACTATTATATATAAATATGTGTATGTGTGTGCACAGACAAACAATTTATAATAATAAATACTACAATATTCTATAAAAAAAAAACCCAAGAATTGTTCATTTTGATTTCATGGTGACACTTATGTCCTTAGGCCCATTATCTTTGACCTTGTATTGGTGCTTGAACACCATAAACAGGAAACCCAACTATTGCAAAAAGAGCAACATCTGAAACTTCACCACACTTTTCAGGTTAAAAACAAACAGCCTGAGCAATTCACCAAATCACTGTCTGGTACAAACCAGACCACATGACCCTTATAAAGTGGTCTATAACCACAAAGTTTTGAATGGGTTTGCAAGCCTTGAAATGCCCCATTGTGCTATACACCATGATCCCTTATTGTGCATGTGATGACAACATGGGAAAAACCATAACAAAAAAAGGTCATTTCTGAAATGCAGAAAACATACTGTAATAGATTGGTTCTCATAACACTCTCTCACATTTACAATATTTTTATAATACACATCACATTCTTTCTTAATGCCAACATTTACAAACTGTACTTTTCACTGAATTCATGTGCAAGTTCGATGAAAGGCCCTTCTGCTGACTTCCGGAAGAGATCATAAACAGGAAGAGCTACAGCAATATACCTCTCCATTCTCATTCTCTCTTTCATAAACACACATCCACACATGAGTCCATAATGTCAAAGATGGCAGAGAAACAATAAAAGGTTTAAAACCAGAAGTGAGACTCAAAGATAACAAGTGGACACACAAATATGGAAACACACTCGGTTTACAAACTCTTAAAACGTCTCCTCTTTCTTCATCAAGATCTCTCAGGGCATCTAACAAACAGCCACATCACACTACTTCATTTCCCTCTCTTTCACTTCCTTTTTCACACCCTCCCCATCTCTCTATTCAGAGGTAAGCAGACATCCGGTCAGTTTGGTTCACTGTGAAGTGAGCAAACCCTGATGCTTTGCACAAAAAAGGTCATCATATAGTAGAACGCAGACATGCATATCATTTTCATAAACAATTATCTGTATTTCAGTTAGGCTGATCTTGACTAATATGGGTCCTTGTTGATAACACTACTTGGAAACCCCAGAATTGGAGTGTAGCAATCATTCATTATCACTTCTAAGCAATGTTTGAGTTCCCTTATACCCCACAACTTTTGTTTTTGGAAACATCATTGGATTTTAAACGCTTAATTTTGCTTGGCTGTGGTAGGAAGGAAAAAAAGGTAATGTAAAATGACCAAGCACGCAGATGATTCTGCCAAATGGTTCCATTGGCAGTAAAAACAATACAAAAATGAGTTAGGACTTCACGGTCGAACGTTACATCGCCTATTTAATATTCATGAGCCATGGTTATTACATTTATATTATGTCACTGTACTTGAATATCTATTTGTTTGAGAATCCTGACCAGGGATACTCTTCCCAAAAGAATCTTTAGCCAACTATGATCACAAGTTCAGTCGTAACAACATAGTTCAAGGATTCAGTATTTCCTAAAACACAGAGTTCCGAGTTCCAATGAACATTCATAAACAGCAACGACGAAGGGGAACAAAAATAGTGAAGTACTGTAGGTTTTCTTTAAAAAATGCAGCTTTCTTTTGTTCATGTAAATTAACTATAATGATCTTAAATCAATCAGTTAGCAAAAGTTATTAGTCCACGATAACCTTTGAAACAGCGTTGATGAACAAAGACGGCAGTGCAGCCACATTAACTACAGTTTTGGGAAACAGTCGACCAGTTAATTAGTCGACCACTAACCAGTTAATTTCACCAGTGTTGTTAAGCAGCGAGTTAATTTGCTGTACAGGTAACACACTCCAATCAAACACAGCAACATTGACACAACAGCGTGAGTTCGAGGAATAGCAGTTTTTGATTTTTCAACCAAAAGAGGGAGTGTTCTAGTCTGGGTTTCCCCATACTGCCTTAGTTAGACTACCACAGCGCGATTTTATTCATGCTGAAAGGCAGTATGGATAGCATGGTCCAGATTTTTGCCTCATTTAGGGAACCAATCACAGAACAGGGAGGGAGCAGCAAAACGATGACGACATCTATGCGACACACCGAAGCAGTTTGTTTATTTCTATGGATTCAACATGGCAGCCGACGCGAAGCTACCTTTTGATGCAGCCTTAGATATTGTTCTAAGTAGTTTAGAATGCAAGTTTATTTTGAAAAAAGAGCCGCTTTTGGCGTCAAACTTCGTGAGAGCCCAGTCGTTATTGTTGTCTCGCCATTAATCGCCCTAATGGAGGTCCAGGTGCAGGAGGCGGTCAACCTTGGAATATCTGCCGCTCAGCTGTGTCCCGAGAAAGAAAATGCGATAAAGAATTGTCGATACCAACTTCTGTTCGGCAGTCACAAGGCCTGGATGAGCGCTAAGACATGTTAGCCACGGAGTTGTATAGTACCAACCCGCTAGGCATCGTCGTCAACGAAGTCCATTTAACTTATAAATGTTAAGTGGTATTTATTAACATCATATTGTTATTATGCCTGTATACTACCTAATGTGGTTGTCACAGTGCCACTAAGTTGTGTTGCTTTTCAATATCAATACACAGCTACCGCTTTAGTAGAATAACTTTTAGCTGTGCACACGTACCCGATTAAAGTTGTTGACACTTTAGTCATTAAATTAAATTTGAACAAATTTTAAACTTGTGAAGTACAAGCGCAAACAATATCCAATGCAAATAACATCTTCAACATCTATGTTAAACTGTACTTAATACTTGTGTTTTTCTAATTGAAACGATTGGCTATGAGCTACAGTACAGTACGTACAGGTGCATTTGATAGACATTCTTAGCACCCAATAAACGGCGCCGGGCATTCGTAAACCACGCCTCAAATACAAGAAAATGAACGTGGTTCCCAGCATAGATATCTATATAAAGGCTAAATGTCTCACGGCGGAGTATTTATCGTCATCACCGGCGGCCATCTTGTCACAGACAGGCTTTCTGGCGGGCTCTGTGGTATCTGATGTAAGAAATACTCTTATCGCGTTGAAATCTTGATGGATTTACAAACGGTTTGGTTTCTTACAAACGTTATTAACGTGGCTATAATTCTGGATGATTATTTATTTATACACTTATTATTCATAAGTATGCAGTATCATAACTACATCTCTGCCGTTTATAACAAACCAGACCGTTTGAAAATTGGTAGAAAATTGAGCAAGTTACGGTGATTTAAAAAGTACATGCACCATTAAAACAATGTTACCAGTGAGCGAGCTGCCTGTGACAAGATGGCCGCCAGTTGCTGACGTCGACCTCCACGTCCAGATGGCCATTGGACGAGATATCTAGCCTTTATATAGATATCTATGGTTCCCAGACCCAAGTCTCAACGAGAATGGGCTATATGCACGCATAAGTTCCGCATTTGACATAAGGATGCTCGTCCATTTCCGGTTGTGGAGATTTAAGCGGAGGAAAACCGAGGAAAACGGGATTATGGCAGAGTCTTCAAAATTTACTGTCCTCCCGTCTTTGAAACGAAACGTACATATGTTTAGATGTAATTTTATATATAGTTATATTTATTTAATATATAATTTTAAAAAGAAGCATAAACACAATGAGGGGTGTCTGTTTTATTCCGTTTTTGTGACTAACGTTTCTTTAGTATAACCATGGAGTATAAAATTCAATATAAATTCTTTAATAAATATTGTATTGGACTCTACGACCAGCGGAAGTTATCGAGCATCCTTACACCTTCACCGGAAATACCGCCGTGCATAGAGCCCATTAGGAGTGTTCAGATTGCCTGTTTAGAAAAGAGTGGGTGCTTCTAATTTTTTTTCGTGCATCCTCGTTTCCTTTCCACGCTTCCTTGCCTCGGAAGGATACACCTGTGTATCTTTGCTTCGCTTCCACACTGCTCGGCTGCGTCCAAA